TCAATATCGTAAATAGGCGTTTACCTCCGTAAGCCCTCCAACAATAACTAAATGTTATGTTGCAGAAACACCTTTCACTGATTTAAAATATATTTTCCGACGACAAATTTATTTTTTTTCAAAAATTGTAGTAATTCAAGTGGTTGTAAGAAATGCTTTTTTGTCTGGAATAAACAGAGAAATACAAAAATAGCCTTTAAAATAAATCCTAGTAGATTTTAAATAACCGCAGTAGAACATTCAGTCTCGCTAAAAAGAGCAGCAGATATACTGCAATTGCAGTGAGGTCCGAACGCAGACTTGTATGCGCGCACATTAGCAGTTGTGTAAAGGCCCGTCCACATACGACTTTGGCGTTGCGTTGGCGCTGGCGACGCTTTTACAGCTGCGCGAGTAACGTCCGTGCTTGCTTGCAATGAACGCTTAGCTGAGAATACTTTGGTCACTAAATTAGCATACTAGCGGCAGATAAATCAACATTTTTTATCAATAATTGCAACCGCTGTGTTGTAGTGGTAAGCAGTGCACGCTTCCACTCCGCAGCGCCTGGGTCAAAGCAACATCGCAACAAATTTTGAAAAAAGGTTTTTTATTAACAGCGGTCGCCCCCCGGCAGGCAATGGCAAACCGCCGAGTGTGTTTCTGACATGAAAAACAGCTTCTCATAAAAATACAATCTCCGTTTGGAGTCGGCGTAAAACTGTAGATCCCTGACTTTGTGTGACAACATCAAGGCGCCCGCCACAAATCGGAGGAGAAGCTCGGCCAAACACTAACATATGTGAAAGCGCCAATCTATTATATTATTATTATTATTAATTGTATTAAAAAACTATATTTTTTGCCCACATTTGACTAAAAAGGAATATTACATCACATAATTTTGATTATTTGGAACAGCTGACAAACGACGCGCGCGAAAAGTTGAGAGTTGGCCATCTTTCTGCGTTGTGTTGGCGTTGTTCTGGCATTACTAATATAAATCACAGTATATAAAGAAATAACCCTTTCCCAGTTTTTCACCATTTCTTCCCCGAAGAGTACTTTTGGGTTGTGTGCAGCGCTTTCGTTTTGCGTGCACGGCAACACTTACTGTGGGGAATTTCGCCTCATGATTAGGAAAAGTTCATTAATTATGTGTTATTTATGAACAAAATGTAGGTGAAGTATAATATTCATCTTCAGTTCAAAGTGGGCAACCGCCGTGATAACACGTCCCGTGGTATTTCACGCGCTCTTTACCTCTTTGCGTTCAACTATCGTAGTCTCCAATATTCCAGTTACCGCAACTTCCTATAGTTGCAGTTGTTATAGTTTACTTGTTCAAAGTAAAAACCAACAAAACTCAAACAGTGCCGCAGTGAACATTCGACACCATGAAGGGGGCTGAACCCCCCGAAAGCAACAGGTTTCGGCTACTCGATCCTGATTTGCAACTTCCCAAGAAACGTCCAAAATTCAGTGACTTTGTACCCCTTCCTGTAGTAAAACAAAACGACGATCATATCCCCCGGTTCTTAGTGGCAAGTGCTATCGGTCCAATTGTTGATGAAAAAATTCGTCCATTATTATCATATAATGTCTTTCAAATAGAAAGAGGTTTAAAATACATTTGCGACGAGAACAACGTTGTAACGGAATTAAGATCCGGTGACCTTCTCCTCAAAGTTGAAAATATTAAATCTCTTAAAGCTACCCACATAGGTATTATACCTGTAAAAATTACTTCCCACAAAGGTCTGAACACAACTCAAGGCAGAATATTTTCGAGAAACCTTATCAATCTCTCCGAAGAAGAATTAGTTGAAGGGCTGGAGGATCACTTGATCGAAGTCAAAAAAAATCATGCGCAAAGATGGCGATAAACTAGTTTCTACTGGTGCAGCAATTGTAACGTTCGACCTAATACGCAGGCCAGAAATCCTTAAATTAGGATGGGAAAGGGTTCGTGTGCTAGAATACATCCCAAATCCTATGCGGTGCAAAACATGTCAAAGGCTCGGACATACTAAGAACGGATGCCGAAATATCGAGCTATGTAGCCAGTGTTCTACCCCACCGCCACATAATCCATGTCCAAGAACATTCTGCATAAACTGTCAAATAGGAACCCACGCGTTCTACGACCCGATCTGTCCCTCGTTCCTAAAGCACAAGTCGGTAAATAAAATAAAAATAGATCGTCGATGTACAATCAGAGATGCATGGAAAATCTTTAACAGCAACCCTAATGCACATCAAATACAACCCCCTCAAAAAAATACAATGACTCCCTCCTTTGCACAAATGGTAAAAAACACCAGCTCAGAAACAACCGAACCAACAACCGTTAGCACAGCACACAACTCGCAATCAATTTCAGCATGCAAAACTCACGAAGAAACCACAAAAAATAAACCACAAGCAAATAATGTTACAGTTATGAAAACAAGTCAAACTAAGTCTATCACACAATCAACATCCACCATACCCAAATCCCTGCAGAAAAATAACACAACAACTTCACCAGCAAGACAAAAAACAAAAACCAGCATCAGCACACCAGAAAAACCGACGTCAAGCAGATGTGCAGCAGCTAATGCCAGCCCACACACACCCACATACCCCAGCCCTACCATCAGTGACACCGAGTTTTCACCTTTCAGCCAATTACAAACAAAATTCCCCGACCTTAACGTTCTCATAACCTATAATACATATAAAAACACACTACCGACACAAAAGGAATCCAATAATCTAGATAAGTCATAAATATAGTACTTCTACACCAATCCTTTAACTGATTTACTTACAAATTACATAACCGATGTTATCATTATTACAGTGGAACATAAACGGATATCACAATAACTATATTGAACTTGAAATCTTAATAAATAGGTATAAACCCTCCATCATACTTCTAAATGAAACCCCCCTTGCCTACAATTCATCTGCCCCCACTCCCCAATCTTACGTAGGGCACTTCCACAATCTTCCGCACATCAACTCCAACAAACAAGGAGTCGCCATTCTTGTTAAGAGGAATCTGCCCCACCACTCTCTTCCCACCCTATCCAATATATCCTCACTATCAATAGAACTGCAAACCTCCAACCGAATCACAATAACTTATGCGTATGCTCCGCCAAGTCAATCAATAACAACCGCCGACTTTTACAATCTTTTCCCCTCCCCTCCCCAACCCTTTATCCTTGCAGACTTTAACGCTTGGAGCCCTCTTTGGGGCTCTGCCTCTTCCAACCAGAGAGGTCGCTCTATAGAAAACGCTATCCTCACGTCTAACTGCATCGCTCTTAATGACGGTTCTGCCACTCACTTCTCTACCCACTCAACCTTCACTCATATCGACCTTACCCTCTCCTCTTCCGCCCTCTCCAACAACTTATCATGGCACCTTATAGATGACCTCCACGGCAGCGATCATTTCCCCATCCTCATCAAAATTCTCACATCCCGACCCATTATTCCCTTCTCCCCCAGGATCAAATTTAAAACAGACAGAGCGGATTGGAACAAATTTGAACGTGCATGCGAGTCTTATTCCAAATCCTTCCCAACGTCTTGAAATGTCATCAAAGAAACCTCAAACATCCAAAAAGCAATCCGCTGTGCGGCCAACGACTCCATCCCTCTGTCCTCAACTAAGCCAGTAAAACCAGCCCTAGTGATGGCACGATTAATCGAATAACCGATTATAATCGGTTATTTTCATTCGGTTAACGATTTAATTGTATCGAAATTTTCCTTTCGATTAATCGAGCGATTAACCGATTAATTTTGAAAATAATCGAAAAGAAATCATCAAAAACTGGCTACTTTACTCACACAATAATGAATCAAAATTCCGTAACAAAATTGGCATTCTTACCACTCAAAAATATTAGCAACAATAAAAGTGTCCATTCTACCGGGTACATACATATATCTGTATACTTTTACTAGTTGGGAGATTTTTTATATTCTCGTATTCTGCAAATTTTTTAAACGATATTTTTGCAAAAAGCGCAACACAAGTTTAACCTAACAAATAAAACAATTAAAAAACACAACGCAGGTTATTTTCACTTTATTTTCCAAATGCGGTGTTTCGCATTTGCTTCCACACGCTTTTTTATATGGAAGGAAATAAGCATAACCGTAAAAAAAAAATTGCCAAAAATCAACGGTAAGTGATACTTCAATTTTGCAATTTTTTATGCAAAAATTTAATGGGTTTACATAATAATAATAATAGATTGGCGCTTACACATATGCTAGTGTTTGGCCGAGCTTCTCCTCCGATTTGTGGCGTGCGCCTTGACTGCGCCGACTCCGAACGGCGATTGTATTTTCATGAGAAGCTGTCTTTCATGGCAGATATACACTCGGAGGTTTGTCATTGCCTGCCGAGGGACGACCGCTGTTAAGAAAAACCCTTTTTTCTCTATTTTTTGACCAGGGTTTGAACCCAGGCGTTACGGAGTGGAAGCGCGCACTGCTTACCACTACACCACAGCGGCAGAGCACTAGACACCATTCAAAAAAATGCAAGTTAAATAAATAGGCTATCAAGCAACCATTTTGGATATTTACTATCGAAACCAGATACATTTTCGTGGACCCCCACTTGTGACTCGTGGACCCCCATACTTTTTTCACGCCAACGTAAACTCTTATCGAGTCTCCCGTGGACCCCTCAGGGTTCACCTAGACTACTTTGGGAATCACTGGTCTTGACGAACAAAAANCTTGATTGTTTGCGCACTGAATTCATGGCCAATTTTTATAACTTAGGGCCAATTTCACAATGCGTAGTTAACTCAGAATCGGGAGTTAACTACAGAATTTTGTACTGAAAATCTATAGTTAACTGTCGATTCTGAGTTAACTACGCACTGTGAAATTGGCCCTTAGTAAATGGTTTTTATTATTTTCGACCGATTAATTGCAATTATTAATCGAATCCTTTCGATTAATCAATTAACCGATTAATCGATTATTCAAGTTTTTTTGCCATCACTAACCAGCCCCTTTATGGTGGAACAATGATATTGCATCCCTTAGGCAAGCTAAGCAACATGCGTGGCATAATTTCAAACCGGTCGTCCACAAATCTCATTCAAATCAAAAAACTGAACGCGCAATTTCGTCGGAAAATCAAAGACGCTAAGCTCGTATGTTTTCAAAAATTCACCAGCAACATTACTGCGTCATCCGACCCTAAGAAAATCTGGGCCGACATAAAAAAGCTCACTGGTTTACCTTCCAATTCCCACATCAAATTCCTTAACTCCACTCACGGCAATCTTGTATATCCCCGGGAAATTGCTCAAGAACTCGCCAGCCACTTTTCTAACGCCTCCTCTGACCAACACGACAACATGGAGGACAAAATATTCAGGCTGTATCCAAAGCTCACTCTAAGCTCCAATCCTCTTATTCGTAATGACTTTCAAGCTGCAGCCGCACGTATCCACACCTGCGCCTTATTTGCGAAATATGTCGATCTGCCGTTCAAACAACACCCTCCGCGGTACACTCATCGCCAGGGAACGGATTTTATGGAAATAGCCTTTTTTTCTGCTAAAGAGATAGAGTATATTCCATTAAGAATGTCCACGATTTAGCTTTCTCTGATTCCATATATACACATTTGATGTTGCCTTTTTTTGTCTTTTTTAAGATATTTGCCTTTTTTAAGATATTTGCCTTTTTTTGCCTTTTCTACCTTTAAAAAAGTGATTATAGCATTTACAATTTTTTTTAAAGATTAAAAGATATACACATGCCCATGCGGCTTATAGAAGCGCAGGGACCTCTTGCCAAATTGGTGTTGGAAAAATTTAAAGCCGTTTTCTCAGCTAACGTAGGCTTGGAGACAATAAGGAGAGTGGATAAAATTGTAAAGGGCGAGGAAAACGCCCTATTCCTGATAATATGAACGTTTCAAACATTTTAAGTTGGGCTCCACTTGTATCAACTTCCGTCGAGCGCACATTTAGTACGTTCAAGGCTTTTCTTCGCGAAAATTGAATGAAAATGCTGCCAGAAAACTTCAAAATGCATCTTGTGGTTCAATGTTACTACAACTATACAGATTAAAGTTTTATGAGTTAGAAACTCGAAAGGATAAAATAGTCAAAGATTCAAAGTTCAAATTTTTCATATAATGAAACTAGTTCACAGTTTTTCTCTTTTTACTTGTAATATAAACATTTCTAAAATAAATGTATTTTTTGATTGTTCTTCGTATTTTCTGTCTTTTAAGTGTCTTATTTTGATTTTTTTGCAATACCTAGTGCCTTTTCCTGCCTTTTACGCTATTTTGTTTTGCCTTTTTTTGCCTTTTTTGCAATACCTAGTGCCTTTTCCTGCCTTTTTCGCTATTTTATTTTGCCTTTTCCAGCCTATTTCTTTATTTTATTTTGCCTTTTTTTTATAGGTTTTTAGGTCCTAAAAATCCGTTCCCTGCTCATCACCCACCCTGGATGGTTAGCAAAACATGCTTCAAGGGTAAGCATATAATTTTCTCCGACAGCTTGTCCTGTTTCCAAGCCCTCCAAAACCACAACAAATCAAGCTACATCATCGAGAGTATTAAAAACACGATTGTTTCCCACCAGAGTAATATTAAACTCATGTGGATACCCGGACACTCCGGACACAATCGCCAAGGATATTTCCATCACACCAATAATCACATCTGAAGTCATCCTACCTCGAGACATTTACCGTCTAATTCATCGACAGAGGCAATCTAAGTTAATACACCAATGGGCGGACTATAATCACCATTATTCGGATATTAACCCTAGCCGAATAAAACCCGTTTACCCTACATCGGTACCTACCAACCATATCACCCCATTCACACGTCTCCGAATTGGGCACACCATAATTACAAACGCGCACTTACTACAAGGAACTAGATCCAACACCTGCCCCTTCTGTCATGCAACAGCCAGCGTGCATCATCTACTGGTATCCTGCCCAGAACTTACTTCCCAAAGGTATCATCATTTTGACAATCTGGATCCTCTTCTACTTTTAAAGGACGTAACAGAAGCTAACATCAACAAAATCTACAGATTTCTAAAGCACACGGATCTACTCCGTCGTATCTGACCGATCACATTCCACCAGCCAGCCGAAAGCCTCTGCTGCTAGCGCTGCGTTTGCTTAAGTTTATATAATAATTAATTATTACGTAAGCCTTGTATAAATAAATAAATAAAAAATAAAAAAATATTAATCTTTAATGTATGCTGATATTCATGCTTAATGAAGAATAATATCAATAGTTAAGTACGTAATTAATTGTGTTTTATATACTGGAAAACTTAAATCGTAATTATTAGCATTGAATGGAGTTTTCTTATATGTAAGTTTAAAATAAAAAAAGTCCATTGTAAGATTATATTTTTATGAAAAGCGTAAATTTTGTGAATTTATCAAGCCAAATTCTAAATTTCCGAATATATTTAAGACTTTATTTAAAAAAAAAAATATAAACTTTGGATAGATATACAGACCCCAATGCCCAGACAGTCCATTAAGCACACCCAAGTTTGAGTTATCTACAAGTTACAAGCGTTTTTAGCATTTAACAGTTCATTATCATGTACGGTGTAATATTAATTATTATACACTGAACTATGAACTATGAACTATCTGTACTAGTATCTATAATAGCCGTGTTTTATTTGTCCAGAAATTTAAGCTATTAGCTTATTTTGTATGGAGGACTTACCCAACATAATTATATTGGCTTATGAAAAGCTATCTTGGCTTGTATATTGAACAAGAGGCATTGCCATTCAGCATCAGAAATTTTCTCCTTCAGCCAATCAGAAAGAGGCAAAAACTTACTTTGACACTATTTGCAGTCAAACAACTGTTAAAATTATGCTAACATAGAAAATAAGCTAATTTCGTTTTAGTTGACCAAGATTTGGCTATTTGCTTGTGATGGTTGAATAAAACATGCCTAATAATAGACAATAATTTGCAATGTTTTTACGCTTTTGCAATTAGTTTCGGGCACTATTACACAGTCATGACTTGTGCCACACTGCAATAACCTACGTTTATGCGTAAGCTTTTTGCAAATAAAAATAATTTGCAAATACCTAACTCACTGTTTATTCGATGGTGAAAAGTTCTTTTTTAATATTGCTTGATTATAAAAAGGCAATAATATGACAATCGAAAAGGAAAATAAAGTTAAAAATGGCAACGTCTTGATTATAAAAAGGCAATAAGATGAACATCGAAAAGGAAGATTAACCTAAGAAGGCAGCGTCTTGCGCTTATTTGCAAATAGTACCACTAATCAATACTTATTTGCGTGATTTAGTTATTTGCAAATAAAAAATTAACTCAGCGTTTATACGGCAAAGTTTACCATTTTGCAAAATGTTATTTGCAAATAATGCGTGCGTATAAACGTAGTAATAGTACGATTGTTGCTCTCTTTCATACCACAGCAATTTTGTATATAACTCTGAATCAACAAAATGCATGCTCCGTCTCATTTTCAACCCTGATCAGATTTTACCCCCGAGGAGTACTCAAAAAGGTTTATTACTGTATATACTGTGATATAAATATTAGTTGCGTTCCTTATCTCCCAGAAATAGTAAGAAAAAGTCCGAAGTAGTCAGATTTAGTCCAAAAAGCGTTCCTTAACTCGAAAATGACATCCAAAATGAGAGAGCAACACTCAGTGAGAGTGACTCTCTTCAGTCCGAAGTNTATTAGTTGCGTTCCTTATCTCCCAGAAATAGTAAGAAAAAGTCCGAAGTAGTCAGATTTAGTCCAAAAAGCGTTCCTTAACTCGAAAATGACATCCAAAATGAGAGAGCAACACTCAGTGAGAGTGACTCTCTTCAGTCCGAAGTAGTCAGATTTAGTCAGAAGAATTTTTTCTGGCAAAATCTTGAAAAGTGTCAAACTCAACTGAATTTAAATTAACGGATATTAAAGAATACGCAAAAAGTGAGAATAATCTAAAAAGTAAAAAAAGTGAATTGAAATTGGAAGGAGGCAAAAAATAATTGATATAGTAAGTGTTTATTGTGCTTGTGCTTGAGTGAATGTGTTTTGTACATACATTTCCATTCTTATTTGACGTTAGTTTTGTTGTTGCCATTATTTAGACTAAAAATTTGGTTTTTTGCGTTCCTTTACTTTTCCTGTTATTCTCTTTTAGTGAGCGCATTTTGCTTACGTTCTGGCATTTTGACACGATTTTACAGGCAAAAAAAGCTGAATACGAAGTTGAATGAGAAGTTGAAAGTGAAAAAGTTGCCATTCCTATTCAGACGAGGCGATTTTCGATTCAACACGAATCGTTATTTACATTATTGAAAATGAATTTAAATCGCAAAATTTCATCAATTGGCGTAAATTTGGTAAGCCAAGCGTTGGTAGAAGTGCTTTTAGCGAAGCTGAAAGATAAAATATGAGTAAAAAAGTAAAAAAGAAAAAAAAAAGTATGTATACAGAACAGTGTTGGCATTTTTGGCACAATTGTACTTGTTTGATACAATTTCATTTACAATATACTTTCCTAATACGCAGTACTTTTTAGTACAATTTTGTAAT